GCTGGTAAGGGACGGATTTTCTTATCAAGCTTGAGGCATTTTGACTGAGGACTGTCGGAGACTCAGAAGCTTTCAAAGACCCAACAAACCGTGTAGATCTGAGGATTCTGTCCAGTGCTACCTAGCTCACTCCAGATCACTAACTGATCATCTTACAAACTCGTAAAGCTGGCTCTGACCCGCAGGTGGAGCTGACAAGAGTTGGACAGAAATGTGTCATCTCCAAAGTAATTTTGGGCTTTTGTTAAGATTCCCCGCCCCCAACTCCCACAAACACACACCCTCTTCTTGAGCAACTAAGGCTCCCCTCGTTAGCATTCACCCTCGGAAGTGTTATAAAACCAAAAGGCAAGCCGGTCCCTCTGGCGTTACCTTCTTCATCCAAGACGAGGCTGGAGGACACGCCGTCCGTGTCGCTCACGGACACAGAGTAAGTGCCTATGTCCGATTTATCCGGGTTCTTAAAGTACAGCTTTGAGCTGAAAGGGAAGAAGAGCCAGGGACGTTCATCACGGGGTCTGCAGGAGCTCGTCCGAGGGCGTGCCGGCCGGCGTCAGCGGGAACTTACTGGTCCCCCACGGTCTCCACCCTGAACCGCTCGTCGCCCGCGATGTCCTCATAGGACTTGCACCAGGTGAAGTGCGAGGCATCCGTCATCTCCTGGCAGTCGAAGCTCAGGTAGATGTTCCCCTCCTCGTCCACGCCCGCGCTCACCTCCTTGGTGCCTGCAGAGCGACAAGGCCGGAGCGTGCCTTAGGAACACGCTGTCCTGCAGGTGCCGTTTTTGGAGAGGCGGCGGCACCGGCAGAGAGCTCGTTTTACGCCGAGTCATCAGTTTCTGCTGTCCGTCCGCACAGGACGTCGGACAAGTGTGAAGGGGCGAGTCCTCCCTGGGCCGGTGCAGGGCGGGGCCGTTCGGGGTTTGGTTTTGCTTTAAGACGGCATGTTTCTGACCATCTCCTTTTATGGAAAAAACTCTCTGGGCTGCAGATCCGCCCATGAGGCTCCTCCTTCTCTGTGAGACGTGACCCCTTGCCCGCTCCCGGGGCCCAGGCAGGGTGGTCACAGCACGTGTCTCACCCACCCGCCTCCACTCTCTCCACTTTGTCCTTGGGGGCGGGGAGGACGAGGGCTTGTCGGTTTGTTTGTGACTTTTTGACCCAGTGGACACCTGGCCCAACACAGGCCAGTCAGCATCTGTCCCTGGGGAATCTGGAATTGGAGGAGACGCCAGCCTGGGGCCAGGTACACAGTCTCCGTACCAGGAAGCCGGAGGAGTGGGGAGCCCGGTACAGAGCGAAACGGAGCAGTCTCCAGGGAAAACGTGGCTGCCGGTTCCGTCGCCTTCTGGAGCCAGGGACCCACCTCCGCACGCATCCTGCGGGCTCACCTCCCGCCCCGAGAAGCAGCTCCCCGGCGGGTCCCCTCAGCCGGGCTCTGACCACTTGCAGCCAAGAAAACTGCCAACGGCTTGATCATTTCTGATCAAAGCTCCACAGTGACATGAAAGACCATTGTCACCCCTGCGTGTGGCTCCACCCCTGACACCCCCACAGAATGACCTCGTGGCCCCATCGCCGTCCCCCCAAACCTCCGCTGTGGTGAGGCTCTGACCCCTGAGCAGCCGAGCAGGCAAGGCTCACCTGGCCTGGCCTCCACCAACACCGGCTCAGACGTGTCCGAGGGCCGCCCCACGCCACTGGCGTTCACCGCCCGGACGCGGAAGACGTAGGTTTTCCCTTGGTGCAGGTCACAGACCTGGAAAGACAGACGAGACGTCACTCGTGAACAGAGCAACGAAAATGCTTTCATCACTTGTCACTTCACTGAAAACATCTGTCTTTTTAAAAATAACATGTGCTTCCCACTGGAGCAGCCACGCAGAGGACGCTGGAGAGCAGCCGGGAAGAGAGCCCCACGGGCAGCGCCACCGTCCTCTGCAAGAAAAAGCGGGGACGCTCCTGTTCTGATGTGTCCTTTGTTCCTTTTCTTGGCATATCTTAAAGCAGAATGGAAATCGTACCATCTAGTTCGTAATCGGGCGTTGCTGTGGCCCATAATTCTGTGGGACTAAAACCCACTGTACACGTGATTTTTAACTGTGCCGAGCACCCCCCGGGGGGCACACCCTTGCACGTGTGTAGATGGCGTACACTGAAGGCGGCACGGGCAGCCACCAGTAAGGTAAGTACGAGCTGCTTGCTAACTAACTCATTCAGGTGGATTCGCAGCTGGTTTTGTTTGCTCAGAAGGCACCGATCTTGTTTCATGCCGTCAAACCTTCCCCAGGTCTGCGCCCATTTGCCCCCTCCCCACGCGCAGCCCTGCACCCGCTCAGATGTGGCCCCTCTAAGCCACACCCCAGAGCCCACACTCTAGAGAAGAAAGCCCCGGACCAGGGCAGCGGGGTCTCCAGGTCTGAGGCCGCTGTCACAGCTGACCCCGCGATGGGTGCGCTGCAGGTGCTAAAAATGGAGATGCCGGCGGGAAAGAGGATAGAGAAGTGCACACGTCGTAGTTCTGTCAGCCGTATTCACACCACGTGACCGTGTGTGCTTCTCAGATAGACTCCACCAGCGACCACGTGAATTAAGGAAATTAAATGGGGGCGGGGGTGGCGAGACGGAGGCCAGGTGTCACTGTGGGCTGCCCGTGAACACAGCCCGTGACCGGAGCGGGGGGTCAGGCTGCGGGAGGGAGGGAACGGGCCCGTCCAGGTGGCCCCCACGGCCCCACTCCACGCGTCTGCAGAGACATGGACACCTCCTTGAACCGCCCTGCTTCGCAGCAGGGATCCCCAGGCCACGTGCACAGCGTGCTGGGGGTTCGAGCTGGTCGCCTACAGGAATGAAACGCGTTCCCCCAGAAGGCAACACCGTCACCTTTAAGTAACGGTTGGTGGTGGCGGCCTCATTGACGGTGATCCACTCTCCGGAATCCTCTTCCTTATAGTCCACGAAATACCCAGAAATGGGACTGCTGCCGGAGTACACCGGGGCTTTCCAGAGCATGACCAGGGACGTGTCCCGGACCTCACAGAACGTCAGGTCGTAGGCAGGCCCTGAAAAGCAGAGCCGAGTCTGTGACGGCGCCACCACTGGACACCTCCTTACGGACACATGGTCGCTGTCACTGCTCCTTGAAGCTACACAGTGCCTTCCCGAGAAAGCTGGTGGGAGCGGTGCTGAGCGTGGTGCTGGGGCTGAGGGAAAGCCAGGCTCACGGCCCCTGCAGCCTCATCACTCAGGCACCCTGTTTTGTTTTGCTCAGAACATGAGAATGTCCTCCATTGTCGTGGGGACCCGAAGGGACTGGACACGGAGACATTGAGGCCCAGCCCTTGTGAAGGCAGGTCTGAAATGTGGAGCCCTGAGTAAACACACATTTGTGAGAACGGTGATGCGGTTTAGAGCCAGGGGCCCAGGCTCTGGGAGGAGGAGGCCTGAGCTAACACACAAGCGGGACCAGCGTCCTGCGGTCCCCACTTGGGCCCGGCTCGCCCCTCCTCCTGGGAGCTGGCCTCCCTCTGCCCCTTTGGGAGACGTGAGCCTGGACCAGGTCCACGCTGGGCCCACCTCCAGCTGCAGCATCCTTGCCCTGGGGGAGCCGGGCTCATTCTGCAGCCGGGAGCGGGGTCCCCGCCTCTCACCTCAGCGCTAATTACTCCACATGTGTCACCCCCAGCCTGCTGTCCACGCCCAGCCCAACGCCCAGCTCTGCCCAGAGCCCGGCACGCGGTGGTGACACCGGAATCCACCCACAGTGACCAAGGCCTGCTGCCTGCAGAGGCCACGTCCCGGGCCCGCCCTGCGCATGCCCGCGTGGCTCGTGGGAGTGTGTCGGGGGAGCATCTTACCAGGCTGCGGCGCCGTCCAGGCCTCACACTTGAAGGGCTCGCTGGGGTCTGACGGCTCCCCGATCCCCACCAGGTTGGCGGCAGCAATTTTAAACTCGTAGGTTGAGCCTTCGGTCAAGCCCTCCACCTATTTAAATTGTGTTTCAATTAATCAGGGAGACAAACATTGGGTTACAATCTGTCGGGGGGAGGGAGAGTTCACGGTGACTCACAGCAGGGACATGAGGGCGCGGCCTCGTCACCGCGTCCACTATGGAGCTGGGAGGGTTATTTCTGTGGCTGATGCTGCGTTAAACCTGACAGGGTACCTCCTTCGCCCCATAAGCCCCCTGCAGGGACGACTCGAGGCCCCCCTTCGGGCAGGTGGGGAGTCTGGGGCTCAGAGAGACGAAAGCCACAGGGACCCAGCGGAAGAGCAGCGAGGGGTCCTGCCCTGATGCCCAGGCTCCTCCCTGGAGGCTCGCCACCTGGGGTGCTGGGGACCGGGGACGTGAGGCATCCTCGCTGGGCAGTGGCCAGGCCGTATGAGCAGTCCCCTCCCTGCACACGTTGGCTGGAGGTCCATTCGGGGCCCCTCTGCCTGGTCCGTGCCACACAAGACGGAAGGAAGGCTTCTGACCAGAACCATCAGCCAGCCCTGTCCTGCAGCCCGGCCAGTGGCGCGAACACAGCGTCTAATGACATCGTCTCCGACAAACAGCTCCCAAAGCAAGCATGTCTGAAGTCAAAGCGCTTTGTCCGCTGGAAGGCGGCCTGTCCCTCTCGTGGGAGGAGCCAGCACTCGGGGCCCGGGGGCGCATTTCCTCAGGAGTTTGGGACCGGCAGAGTCGTAACGTGTCGGAGGTTAACCATGGCCCACACATCAGTGACGTCACGCCACACCTGAACTTGGACAGCACGTGTCGTGCACGTATAAAACGCATGGTACATACGGTACATAAATACGTGTTTTAACCTAGAATCTTCTACAAGATGGAGACCAGACTCCTAACTGTCTCCCCTACGAAACAACAACCCTCATTTTACAGCCGCGCCAGTGAAGCTGATCGCCGTGTGGTGCCGGTGTTGGTGTGAGCTGCCAGCACCCAGGAGCCGCGCTGAACACACGAGAGGCCCGGCGTGGTGGAGGCGAGAGTGGCTGGCCACGGGCGGCCGAGGGCTTGCGGGGGCTTGACCCCAGATCCTTGTTTCTACTCCCGCCACCCGGACAAGCTGCACCCGGGCAGGGACTCAATGGGAGCCTGGACCCTGCCTCCCGTGGAGCCCACGCTCTGCGCCCGCGCATCCTGCCGGGGACGAATCCCCTCCCGGCGCTGGGGGCCTGGGCGCCGCTCGGCACCTGGCAATGCGCCCGCCCGCCTGGCCCTCCTGCCCCTTCGCTTCTCAGAGAGAGGATGCTTTCTGAGAGCTCCAGTCCCCGTGATGCCCCGGCTTTAAGAATCCGTTTCTGTTTCTGTATCAGACGCTCTAATGGCATCAAACTCAGAAACACTCAATGGAGGACTCTGCCCCAAACCCGAAACCACCCGACGAGAAGGAATGAGTCCGCGAACACCCACCGTCAGGATCCTCTCCTTGAGAGGCAGAGAGTTGACCTCGTGCCAGTTTGTGTGGTGAGCCTCGCGCTTGTCGATGTAGTAACCGAGGATGGGGGAGCCGCCGCTGAATTTCGGCACCTTCCAGCCGAGGGTCATGGCGTGGCCGTCACAGTTCAGAAGCGTGATCCCGTACGGATAGGACGGGACGGCTGCAGAAAACACAGCGGAAAGGCACCGAGACCTCAGCCCGGGGTTCTCTGACCTCCAGGGCCGGCTCCAGCGTCGGAGGAGCGGATGGCCCCTGGGAGACGGCCCCGGGCCCCAGACCGCCTCGCCTGTCCCCGCCCACCACTCACCACCGCCCCTTGGTTTTCTCTCTTCTCTTAAAGAAAGTATTTTTTTGAATTTCTTCTGTATGTATTTATTGCAATTTCTAAACACACCTTCCAGTACATACACACACACACACACACACACACGCACCTCCTCTAATATCTCAATAACACAAGGGCAACGGATTACCTAAATCTGACCTGGACGTTTGAAAGCACAGACGCCCCATCCTCTACGGAAGCCCTTGAGAAGGAGCTTCTCATCCCGCCCATGAGGAACGACAGCCCCACCTCCCGTGACCAGTGGTGACCAGTGGTGACCAGTGCATTTAGGCCCGTGAGTCCTCATTTCCTCCATAGGTACAGAAACCAGATTAATTCAAAAGGGGATGAATTCACATTTCTTTTCCAAACACCTAATTTGGAAATGGACTGCCTTTTCCAAGTGGGTTGAAAACGATGTGTCTGCCTCCCCTGGACCCTGAGTAGCCTGCACGCGTCACCCTCTGGTACCTGACACACAGGTGACCGCGAACGAGCAGTTCTCACCACAGAACTAAACGCCAGTGATCGGTTTTCTTTAGTAAGAATGACGAACAGTAATGTCTGAAAGTCCTTCCTGGGAAAACCGATCGATTAGCGTAACGACCTTAAAACAGAGCAACCGCTGAGGCTTCGCCAGGCTGCCCACCCGAGGCTTGTCAGCTCTGACTCCCTGGGAGCCCCAGAACAGCGCTTCCCTTTGCGTTAGAGGAGAAGTCGTGATTTCCAGAGACGCTTTTAGATTTTGGAGACAAAAATAACTAGACAGCAGAACATTTCTGCCAGGAGTGAAAAGATGACACTGCAATTCAAACAAGTGTCTGAGACGGTCATGTTTCAGGATGTTCCTGAAGGCGTTCAGGCCGTGGGGGCGTTTTATATGAAGTAGTCAGAGCATCGGTTGTAAAACCCAGAGCCGTACAGATCAAGCTGACCGGGGCCTGTCCTGGGAACTTGGAACCCAAACTGCTCAGGAATTCAAACTTCAAATAACTTTTGAAGACCACTGTTAATGAACTAAGCCACATAAACATTTGAAATTCTCTGGAATTTCTTAAAGTCCCTTGAACTAGGAACAGCTAGAAAGGCCACGATGTTCCATGTCAGCATCCGTTCTTAAAAGAGGCAGTCGTGCCCTCCAGCACTCGCTTTACCGTGGGCACGCGCGCTTGGCAACAAGCGTGACCCCCAGTAATATTTTCTGGGTTTAACTTGCATTTGATTCGCATGTGATCGTTTCTCCCTCCCTCACTGGCACTTCCCAGACGAGCGGCCAACGGATGGGAGGTTTGCACAGAAGCGCACGTTCCCTGATCAACAGTTTACGTCCACTTTCCCCCGGCGACATTCCAAGCGGCACCATAAGTGTTTCCTCACGCAGAAGTTGCAGGGTAGCGGAGAACCCGAACCCGGCGCGGAGCCGCCCGGCAGCTACTCACTGAGGGCGGCCTGGACCTTTATGACGTCCGACTCCTGCGAATTCTCACTTGTCCCGACCGCGTTGACAGCCTTCACACGGAAGATGTACTGCTCGCCAGTGGTCAGGCCGTGCACCACGAACCTGCGGGAGACACGCACCGGAGGCATGACTGCGAGGCTCGGCCTCTGCCCTCCTACCACAGAAGCAGGGGTCATCTCCAGCACGCCATGAAAGCGTTTGCACCGGGGCTAAGAGGACGCTGTCCTCCTCGGGTGCCTCAGAGACGCGTAACATACGTCATTTTTATTTTCAGTTTTAGTTCATTAATTGCAATCAACACACCGTGTCCAAAAGTAAGGCAGCAACAGGGTGACACCAGGCACTGGAGGGAGCCAGACTCAGAGAGGAGGGCCACCGGCTGCTGGACCAGGGCCGAGGGGCAGGGAGCCAAGCCTGGGGGATCCCGAGTGGGACACGCGATGTGGAAGCCCCTCGCTCTGGGGCTCCCCCTCCAATTCTGAACCTGCCAGGTTTCCTGGGATCAAAGTTCTGTTACAAAGTGAGATTCCACTCCTTACCTAAAAGAACCCACGCACGTAAAACTTAGTGAGTGTTACACTGCAGTGGCCAAAGGCTGACTCTGAAGGCAGGACAGGCTTGGAGACCAGCCTGGACACCTAAGAGATTCTGTGCCCTCAGTCAAGCTGCCTGACCTCTGACAGACTCCGTCCTTCCGTCTGTAAAATGGGATCATAGTACCTACTTCTCAGCACAGCTGCCTCCCAGGTGGCAAGTTCTCAGTAAGCGCGAGCAGAGGTTATGTAAGTCTTTAGCCATTTACGAGTTCCTGCACTAGGATGGTATTTTAAGCGTTTTGCTCTGACAGCTGCTCCTGCCTCTGCTGCCGAGGGCTGTGAATAACCGCTGATTGCTGTTCTCCTCCGTCACCTCGCTGCTTTTCCAGCCACAGCTTTTCCCGTTTTTTTTTTAATTAAGCGTGAAGAGGGAAAGGCGCCTGAACCATAACTGATAACCTTCCACGGTGGAGAACCTGACGGCTGCTCTGCTGTCCTCAGGGCGCATCCTGGAGAAAGGCTAACAGACCCGGGCCATCCCTGCGCCCCCGGCGTGGGATGGGGCAAATCCATGCCGGGAGGAAAGACGCCCGCCCCCACCGCACACGGAACCGCTCCCCAGCTCCGTGCAGCTGGACAGGACTGTCCACCAGGTCAACAAGGCAATGTAAAAAGTTCGAAAAATCAAGACAGAAAAATGAAACACCCTTCCCGTCTCGGTGGCCTCCCCTGTTCAGCGTAAGCCTTAAATGCTAACTGTCAGGACTGGTGTGGCTGAGCTGCCCCTCCCATCAACAGCCAGGCCACTTCAGCCCAGGGGCAGGACCTGGCCGGTCGGTCCGCTTTAATCCCGGCGCCCCTGGGGTGCAGGTGAGGAAACAGACTCGGGGCGCGACGCCACGGGTGTCCCCACCCTGGCCCGTGCACCCGCTTCTCGGCCGGCACTCCAGGCAAGGCCGCCGGCCTCGGGAAGGCGGGGAGGGGCCGGGGGCAGCACCTGTTGTAGCCGATGGGCTTGTGGTTACAAGGCTCCCAGACTTTGGACCCGGCCACGCAGCAGTCCACGTAGTAGCCCAGCAGGTCCTCCTCGTGCTTGGGCCTGTCCCACTGCACCACGACCGACGTCTTGGTGTTTCGCGAAGCCAGGACGCGGCCGGGGGCCGAGGGGACCGCTGGGCAGAGGAGACAGTGACACGGTAAGTTTGGGGGCACAGACACCCGCAGGCCCTCTTGTCCACAGGGTTCAGGGCTTTAGATGAGATTTGGACAAAGGAGGGCGGCACAGGGAAGTGGGGGCGGTGCTGAGAGCCAGAGGGTACACAGGAGGTGCTGGACGGTCCCCGGTCCCCTCTGTCCCCCAGGCCCCAGCCTGGCCCCCACAGAAAGGAATTCTGCTCCCAGAAGCCCTGCACCTGCCCTGGAACCGTCGCCGAGGATCCTCCAGTGACACCCATGCTCTGCTACCTGGGAAGTGACAATCTGGGATGTAAAGTGACCCATTTTAAGAGCATAGGTGCTTATCAGATTCGAGGGACTCTGCAGGGGACTCAAAATCAAACCTGGGGGGAGGGCGCAGCTCAGCGCTAGAGCGCGTGCTCCGCATACACGAGGTCCTGGGGTCAATCCCCAGCACCTCTGTGAGAAAAAAATTGCCTCCACCAAAAAAAAATCAAACCAAGATTTGACGCTGGGTTCCCCCCCATGCGATTCCGAATCTCTGCTGTCCGTGTTTGACGTCTTCAGGGAGGGAGCGCCAAGCCACACGGGCCGGAAACCCGAGTGCGTTTAGGTGAGGCCGTTTTTTTTTAAGTAGTCGTTTCAGAATATTTCTAACCCGTTTATTAGTTTCATGCAAAGAAGACAGGACTCTGGAGAAGTGTTGACAACGGACCAAAGCGGCAGGGAGACCATCCTCTCATAAAGGCACTTAGACGCGTGGATTTTGGCGCACGTGCGACAGCGGGTCTCTATGGACATGGGCGAAGCCGTCCCACAGCCTGGCCTCCCGCCAGGACGACTCACCGATGGTGTCCTGGGCCTGAACGGGGGCAGTGATTTCCGACGGGTCGCTCAGACCGTGCTTGTTTGCCGACAAAACTCGGAACACATAGGATTTCCCGTCGGCGAGATCGAAGACGGCGTACCGGGGGGACCTGACGGCCGTCTGGGCGTTCACCCGCTGCCAGCTCCCGCTCCCCACGACGGACTGCAAGAGACGGGCTTGGTGACGGGGGCTCCCCGCGTGCAGGCCACCAGCTCACCGCACGCTCCCCTGAAGCTGACAGCGCCAGATGCCAGCGACACCCAGTGAGACGCTTCCAGGAGCCCGCGCGTGTGTGCTGGCACCTGCTCTCCCCGGCGCGGCAGTGGACAGGGAGCCGCCCCTCAAGAGGGCCGAGACGCCCCTGCTGCACCTGGCTAACCACCCGGACTCTCGTAACGCAGACACCGCAAGTTAGTTAGTGAGACGGTAACACAAGCGAGCCTCGCAGACAAGTGGGGAAAGTCGAGGGTCGTTGCTCCTCTTGGGGCCTGAACCCCTGTCATTTCCACCCACCTTGGCTTCCCCCCGTTGTGTGAACGCTGCTGCCGTAGGTCAGGTGCCCGTATCCAGCTCGTCTTCGTGTGCATGTTACATATGCTGGGCTGTATATATTACGTTGTAATGTAAGTGTAGACCCACAAAGCCAAAAAGGGTTTCCAGCAACGGCCCACAACCCAATCACGGGTCACCAGTTTGAATGAGTGAGTCACACCTGCACTTTGTGCAACAGGACAGGCTAAGGCGGGAGAGAGCACGCAGCGTGTAGTGAGGGAACCGTGTGTGGAGTTTGTTGGTTATGTACGTGAACTGTGCGTGTGTGCGTGTGTGCGTGTGTGTGTGTGTGCAGGCTGCAACACAGTTTCTTCATGTGCGTCCAGATCTAAGAAGTCTCCAAACCATGAGTCCGTGTAACCATCCACCCTCTGAAGGGTGAATTCCTCTATGAGGTCGCCACCAAGTGTCCGCTGGGCTCACGGACACTCTGCGAGCAGGGCCGCTCTCTGCCTCCCCACCTCACAGAACTCTCAGACTCGGGAGCCCAGAGAGCTTCAGCCGGAAGAGAGCGACAGCCCCTCAGCGTGGCTCCCTGTGTGCCCCGTGTGCCCCGTGTGCCCCAGGTGCCCCGTGTGCCCCAGGTACGGGGGCCCTGCGCTGGGACACACTCCCTTTGCAGGGCTCTGCAGGGGGTCCCGGTCGGCCAGCGCCCACAGCTTCTTATTAAACAACAGTGACAGAGTCTCTGTGGTGATGGATTTGACCGCTGCTCAACCTTAAAACCCACAAACAGCATAACGGGAAATCCGACAGATTCGCCGGTTCCGGAGCCCCGGCCCGGGAGTACCTTCTCGATGAAATACATCAGCGGGTCCTTGCCCCGGTGAGCAGGGGGGTCCCAGCTGAGGACGACATACGTCCTGCTGGTTTCTGAGACGTGCACGTTGGTGGGAGGTGCTGGAATCTGCACTTCGCCTGGAGGAGGAACAAACTGAGTGAGGGCTGGAAGAACCCGGCGCGCGGCGGCGGCCACCGTCGGGCACCGCCCCCGGGCACGTCCCGACGCTGAAGGGCGCTCGGGCCCACCGTCCTGTGCTTCGTTTCTATTTGGGGAAAGCAGCCAATGGCAAGGCCTGTTTCTCCAGAGCTCGAGTGTCATGAACTGATAAAGACCACCAAGCCAGTTCACATGGAAGAATCTAATCAAAACCCATCCAGAATTTCAGCTGGACGTGGGGAGGGATTCACCCAGAGGAAGCAGGACATTTAACCAGACTGGGGCTCTGACTGCACGGGGAGCTGGTGCAGGGACGGCGCTGGCAACCGTGCTCTGCAGTGGGAGCGCCTTGCCCGACGGACTGTGCGCTCCGCCACGACCCTCGCTGGCTGTTCCCCTTAGCGGTGCCCTCAGAGCACTGAAACAATCCATCAGCTCGTGAAGCACGTTGCTCTTCCTGCCCTGGGAAGACCTGCCCCACAGTCGCAAGCTTCGTCGTCTCTGCCTGTGCACTTGGGATTCCTGAATGACATCAGTGAGTCTTTTGCAAGTAACTGTGATAAAACATTTGCATCAGAGAGGCCCGCCAGCCCTCACTTCTGACACACGACGCTTTTTAATACAACGTTGGGTGTCTGGGGTGTTAAGTTAGCCTATGAGAACTCCTCATAAGGGGTGGAGGTTTTCCAGACCTGCGGTCCCGGTAATTGCAATACAAAATATTATGAGCTTCCAATTAGATTAGCACATGATTAAAACGGTTCAAACGTCCCCAGGACATCTCTGAGCCCTGCTCGATATCCAGTTGCTCCCTCCAGACTCTGCCGCCAGCAAGAAACTGAACAGCCGCATGGAAACAGCGCAAACAAGCCGGGGTTTCATTTCATAAGAGTCCTGTTACTGAGCTCATCACATTTTACGGGCGACGCGGGCGTCGAAGCAGGCCTGGTCTTATCCAGGAGCATCCTGGCAAGTGGGTTGGATTTCAAGCAAGGAGCCAGGGTGTCTCCAGAAAAATGCCAAGTGTACCGGGCGGATCTGCGTGCCACGTCCACACCTAAGGAGACCAGGGAGGCACGAGGGGGAGAAGACACAGGAAGTCCACCAGGGTCACGCGGCCAAGCTCCAGAACGCAGCCGGGGTCCACTTCAGAGGTACCAGATGGCACAGGAACAAACCGAGGGGACAGGAGGAAGCCAGGCAGGTGACAAAAGCAGCCTGAGCTGGGGGAGTCGGAGGCAGAAGCACCTCTCCCGCAAGGTCAGCCCTGAATGCCTGGCTGTTTGCAGACCTGGCTCACAACTTCCAGGCCCCGGGAAACAGAACAAAGGGCACTGAATCCAAGGCCACGGCAACAAGGAAGAAAATCGTTTCTGTCCGCAGGGAGCCCCCGATCGGAGTGAGATGCTTGTGTTCAGACCTTGGGCTGTGCACTAGCATGAGCCTCGGGTCTGCAGGCGACCCCAGCCCCGAATGGAAGAGGAGGGGATCAAGTTGGCCCTGGGGAGCCCAGTGGGGCCACGGAGATACGCTGACGTCCGTCAGCCAACACTCCCACAGCTGAGAGGAGACTCAGCAGATGGAGGCAAAACAGAATGAGAGGGAACAGCCAAACGCTCTCCCCGTGTGCTGACCGCAGCACCGGCTCTGCCCTTGGCCTCTGCCTCTGGGTCACCGTGCCTCTCTGGAGCCCTGTCCTAACGAGTCACGTCAGTACCAGCCGGAAATGGAAACATGAAATGGACGTGGAGCTCAGAACGGAGCTCAGGGAAACGCTGGGCTTCCTCAGATCACATGGCTAGTGGGCGGTTGAGCTGGGGTCCTTGCCCAAGTCTTCTGATTCCAAAGCCAGCTTCCTGTTCTGTCAGCTCCAGGATGCCCCAGCCTCCACAGCCCGCCAGGAGACGCTTCTCTAAGTCAATGAAACACGAAGTTTCTTTGGAAGTTTTAGAATGCCCAAGATGACAGAATTCGAGAGAAGGAACAGCTGTAAATGAGTTTGTGGCATTCAGAGCAAATGATGGATTCAGCGTGCTAGCCGCAGACGGCCTTGTCCAGGGCAGCACGGCGACTGCCTGGATCTGCCGCTGGGACAAAGACAATCCCATCGCGTCTGCGGGAGCCGTTCTGATCCTTCCCCAGACGGGACGTCCACTTTTCCATGAAGCAGCTCAAGGAAGACTGGAAATGTTGGATGACATTAAGAGAGAAGCTTGGATAGCAATTTAAATGTTTGCAGGAAGACACTCACCAAGATTTAAATGATGATGAAAATTCGGCCAAAAAAACATGAAATAGCAAAGGAGCGACTTCTGAGCCAACAAAAGAAATGTCTCTCCTTCATTAACACAAATGGCATTTGCCAGTTCTTTTTCTGGCCAAAACAGCACTGAGAGAGGAAGCTAAGCTTAGATGAAGAAAAGAGATATGGACAGAAAAGGCAGAAATTCCTACAGCACATCTGAACCGAGACACGGTTTCCTTGAAAACGTTCCGGAGTTTCTGTCTCTATGAAGATCTGTATTGACTGGAAGAGGTATTTGTTGCTTAAAGTGAGCAAACAGATGAACGTTCCGACCCCCGTCTCAGGGTTAGGGTATTAAACTTCACACCTGGTTTGTTCTAGACCGCGGCCGCGGCCGAGCCCCGCAGGCACAGCCTCGCACGGGGAGCTGAAGGCCTGTGGGGCTGCACTCCGGGCCGTGCCAACGTCCCAAGGCAACTGAGTTTCCATCTGAGTGCCTGAGCCTCGGCCTTTCACGACCAGCTACGCAAACAGAGCCTCAGAAACGTCTCCCAGAACGTGGCTGTAAAGCCACCACGTTCAGGAAATCATCCAACAGCAGGAAGTCACGGGCCCAGGCAACCAGAAGCCCTGGCTGCTTACGAGAAAGAAAAAGGGAGACGACATGTGGGAGGTGTTAGCTGAGACTCTGTTCCAGGCGGAAACAAGCTCTGTTGTGTAAGACAAACTTCCATCGTAGCTGTCGGAAAACAAGGCCTTGCAAACGTGTTATCTCTTTATTTGGCCCTCCATGAATGGCGGGCTATTTATACCGGCTGTATCATCTTCACGTATGAAGCGATCCCCGAAAGGGCACCGTTCCCGCCCTGGAAAGGGGTGTCGGGTCACGCGACCTCGCCCCCGCGGCTTTTCACAGTGACCTTCGCAGAGCGCAGGCTCGCCGCAGGGGTGCAGTGTTTACAGACCAGTTCACGCCTTCTCGCTTCAGGTCATTCTCACCCGGTTTGCGTTCCGACCTGCCCGCCCAGGTAACTGAGGTGGCTGCTCTCCTCAAGGACCCGTCAGAGGGGGAAGGCGCCCCCCTTCCCTCTCTCGTGTCAGAAATGTCTGTTTCGCCCAGGCCGACCTGTCGCAGCAGCGCCTCTCCCAGACACCAGGGGCTGTTTTTTATTCATTCAAACATCCGCCCTAATCAGCCTTTTAGGACGTCACCACGTCAGCCTTTCCCGAGGGTTTCCTTTCGTCTCTCACTTACTGGGCGTCTCTCCCAGGTTCTGGGACTTTCTGGAAGTGAAGGTTTTAACCAAGACTTTAACCAGAACCCATAAAGGATGCTCCTCAGAGAATTACATGTTCTTCCCAAGATCCTGGAGAAACGTCTTTACGGGGCAGGTGATACGAGGTCTGGATGCCACTCGGGGGTAAATGTGAATGTCAGCCTCTGGCCTCCTCCGACTCTGCGGCTCTCTGGGGAGAGGACCGTCTCCCCAGGCCAGCTGCAATTTTAAAGAACTCAGAAGTACCTCTCCTGGGACAGTGGCTCCAAATTAAGTCTTTTCTTCTAATTTTTAAGTTTTCCCTCGTCCTCTATGAATGCAGATTATAAGTGCAACTAAAATCTCCGGCCTTCTGGTTAGTGATGCTGGATTCCCCTTCTCAGGAAACCCACCTTCCGAGCTTTCTCTCTTGGGAAGAAATATTAAAGAGAAGTGGTCATAAAATCCAGTATCAAAAAGGAAACGCAAACTTTCGAGCCACAGGGACATTATTTGGCAGGAAAGATTAATCCCTTTCAGTTAAAATACATTTTTTTTGCTTAAAAAAATAAAAGCAAATACTATTCTAGCAGTGGCGTC